AGATTGTTTTGTAGAACACAACGTGAAAGATTCATAAAACTTTTGTCGACCACAGAGCTTATTTTCTGCAATAATCTAAAAGCCAAAGGAAAAATCCTGTTGGATTTTTGGCTCCATAAAATATCAGAGGGTGTCATTTGTTTGCCTAGCCATTGCTATTTAAACGTATGGGAATGCAAACCAATAGCTTTCTCCAGGAATCACAGACCTCCTTGGCTTGGACAAACAAAGCCACAGTGTTTACACTTTTGAGGAAGTCAACCTACGAATGGCTCAATTAATAGCTTTCTTGGCATACCAGATGAGCAGGGGGAAAGTAAAGTTCATGAAAATGAATGATTAGCAGGACCTTCAACAGATAGACGACCAGTCCCATATAATAATACTTCCTATTGATTTGCTTTGATTCGCTGCTTTTAAGCCTGTTGTGCCTGAAAACACTTAGAACTGAATAATATTTAGCGAGTTCACCAAAACCGTGTCTTTCCAACAGCCGAAATGTGAGCTCTCGGCTTCTCCTCCTGACTAACACGTCGCTGGTCAAATGGAAAATTAGCTGGTCCAGTTTTATGGGGTGTCTAGACATGTGTCCATGCAGCGCAGCCGGTATCTATTACTCTTGTCTTAAACACACACACACACACACACGCACACAATAAATCAGCCTTTACTCCAAATATCATCCTCCCATCTGTTGCTCAATTTTGTGATCTAATCACAACTTTTGTGGTAAGGATGCATCACTTCCTTCCAGTTAGCACTGTGCTTATTGGATTCCTGATAACTCCTTAGAAAGCAAGGTGAAACCGCATAGGGCAAGTCACAGCAGCGGCCCTTGACCCCTCAACCTCTGCATTCCTGCTAAACACATGGTCAAACAACTAATGCTTGCATAAGCTGTGTGTGAAGTTTCTGAGCACACACACATTGAAAGATGTAGAGAACAGGCTTGTTACAATCCAGTTTGACTCTTAAAGAGAGTATATAGAAATACACATGCTATAAGATGTAAGTTCTACAGATAATTCTGCATTTTTATAGCCCTTTTCATAAAAAATATATGAAATTTACAATAACTAAGTTACACTGACAGATCAGACAATGGAAACTGAAAGATCTATGCAAACCAGGCACTTCTATGAATAAGGAGCTTAAGCTAAACTAGATTTAAATAAAGCAATTTAACAAATGTATATTAGCCCACTAATAACAAGAAAAATACATATATTTAACTTTTTTCTGTTGGTTCTAGCGCTCTTTAAACTTAAAGTATGCTACAACACATCAAAACTTCATCATATCGTAACGAAAGTCGTATTGAGCTGCGTTACCTCTCAGATCCACTTGCGTTATCTTAACCTTCCCAAAAAACGCCGAAGTCATGGGTCTCATGCCTGATGGGAAGCATCCGTGGGCCTGATATTGTTTGTCGTCAACAGCCTCGCAGAACCGCAATCATCTGCGCAAAAGAAGTCAGCAAACCAGCGTCACATCTGCCGGAGGAGGAGCGGTTTGGAGGAGAGAGAGAGAGAGCGAGCGAGAGAGAGAGAGCGAGCGAGAGAGAGAGAGAGAGCGAGAGAGAGAGCGAGAGAGAGAGAGAGAGAGAGAGAGAGAGAGAGAGAGAGAGAGAGAGAGAGAGAGAGAGAGAGAGAGAGAGAGAGAGAGAGAGAGGGAGGAGAGATATATGAGATATTCATTTCCCCCCGTGGTTTTCACTCTCGCTCTTAAAGTACACTTTCATTGCCACGCGCTTCTCACAAAACAATAATACAACCTTGAACAACTGTATTTGGTCGCTGAATACAAAATACACTGCAATGTGTAGCCTATTATAACATATGGATACATTTATAATGAAGCAGGTCTATATGGACTAGTCGACATGAAATATTGAGAATATGAATTTTGAATTCTTGTGGAATGACGTTGACTAACGATCATGGATAACACTTTCATGTTAATTAATTAAGGTTAACATGAACTAAGAATGAACAATACTTCTTCAGCATTTTATCTTAGATAATATTATTTTCAACATTTACTAATACGTTCAACATTATTTAAAGGAGTAGTTCACTTTAAAAAAAAAAAAAAAACTTTTGCTGATAATTTACTCACCCCCATGTCATCCAAGATGTCACGTCTTTCTTTATTTTCTTCAGTTGAAAAGAAATTAAGGTTTTTGATGAAAACACTCCAGGATTTTTCTCCATATAATGGACTTCAATGGGAACCAAAAGGTTCAATGTCCAAAAGACAGTTTCAGTGCAAACTACAAACTGTTCAAAGGGCTTTAAACGACTCCAGACGATGAACAAGGGTCTTAACGATCGGTCATAAAAAAATAAATAAAATAAAATAAAAAAAACGTTCAGTTTTATAAGCTCAAATGCTCGCCTTGCTCTGTTCTGTGCGACTGTCCTGTTCAAACTCAAAATGAACGAATCTTTTTTCAAGTCATTTGGTTCATTCGACGAACGACATGAACGAACTGACTCGGAAAAAGATTTGTTCATTTTGATGAACGAGTTTGAACAGGAGAGTCACGAACGCACATCACAAAACAGAGCAAGACGAGCATTTGTGCTTATGAGCCATCGTTTCGCTTGATAAGACCCTTATTCATCGTCTGGAGTCGTTTAAAGCCCTTTGAACTGTTTGTAGTTTGCACTGAAACTGTCTTTTGGACCTTGAACCGTTTGGTTCCCATTGAAGTCCATTATATGGAGAAAAATCCTGGAATGTTTTCATCAAAAACCTTAATTTCTTTTCGACTGAAGAAAGAATGACATGGACATCTTGGATGACATGGGGGTGATCAAATTATCAGCAAAAGTTTTTTAAAAAGTGAACTACTCCTTTAATGCACTGTGAACATGAACAAACAATAAACAGCTGTATTTTTATCAACTAACTAATACACACTAAAAATGTATTGCTCATTGTTAGTTCATGTTACTAATGAACGAATGAACCTTGTTGTAGGCCACTTAAATTATTGTTGTCACATGACCATTTAAGCAAAATAATAATAAAAGACATACGACATTTCCTTTTATATAGTTTTTGTAAATGTGAACACACAATCTTGATGTTGATTGTCTATTGATATTATCCATCCAGTCCATCCACCTCCTCTAAATAGACTAAAACATTAAAAATGCTGTGAAATGACATATAACACACAAAATCTCTTAAACATAGTAACATTTTTATTTATTTATTTATTTTATCTGCACATATGAACACTTTCCCTTGCACTCGATAAACAGGCACTAGTGCTACTCACCACATACAGCAGAAGAGACTTTTTTTCATTTGAGAAAAGTAGGTCATGCTTACGATGAGGGTTTCCACACTTCTGTACCCATGACTAAGTGTCACTCAATACTCACTTTTAGGCATCTCTGTCGAACTTTTGACATGCAGTGCGTTTTAACATTGTACCAGTAAAATCCATTCATTTGTACTGCAGAAACCTTATCAGAGCACTTAAAAAAAATAATAATAATAAAAACAAACACATCAATTCCACTTACATTGCGTTAAATCATTATTAAAGCTCAGGGACAGCACACACATGAAACAAATAACAGGTCTGAGGTGAGAGATCACTAAATGGGTGGTAAAGCTCGGCACCATTCAACATTGGTCCAGCAAGACAGAAATCGACTGTTTACACTGACAACCAACAGCACAATATATTTTACACAACATTACACACACACACACAGAAAAAATATCATTCGATAACAAAGAAGACCTAAAACAAAAGGAAATTACAAGGAATAGTTCACCAATATCTTTACTCGACTTGTTCCAAATGGGTAGGACTTTCTTCATTGGAACAAAACATTCCTAAAACATCCTACATAGGACTAGTGTGAGGAACAACAAGTCGGTATTCACTGATTAACTTATCAAATTATACATCAAATTGTTCAAAATGATCCGGTTCTGGACTTCAGCTCTCTAAATCAACGAACTGATTCAATGCAAAGTTAGATCAGCGAATGAACTAGTTTTACTGTGCTTTTTAAATTGAGCTCGACATATTTGTTCACAACCGTTTGTGACGATCTCTTTAAGTTCCGAAAACAGCACAATGGTTTGGAACGACATTAAATAGCCGTTTTGTGGAACAATTCCTTTAAAGGAGTAGTTCACTTTTGAAAAAACTTTTGCTGATAATTTACTCACCCCCATGTCATCCAAGATGTCCATGTCTTTCTTTCCTCAGTCGAAAAGAAATTTAGGTTTTTGATGAAAACATTCCAGGATTTTTCTCCATATAATGGACTTCAATGGGAACCAAACGGTTCAAGGTCCAAAAGATAGTTTCAGATGCAGCTTCAAATGTCTTTAAACGATATCAGACGATGAATAAGGGTCTTATCATGCGAAACGATCGGTTATTTCAAAACTTATTCCAAAAATTTAACTTTTCTAAGGACAAATGCTAGTCTTGCTCTATTCTGTGAGGCGCGTTTGCAACGTCACGTATTACGTAATTACGTTCCAAAGGTCACGGGCGACGTAGCCGAAAGTACAGAGTCAGTGTTTACAAGTTGAACGCATAGGTTGAACGTGCAAACTAGCTCAGACACCGTTTACAAAAAAAGGAATTAAAAGGAAAAACAACGATGTCGGACGATTTTGATTCTGTACTTCCGGCTACGTCGCCCGTGACCTTTTGAACGTAATTACGTATTACGTGACGTTACAAACGCGCCTCAGAGAATATAGCAAGGCTAGCATTTGTCCTTAGAAAAGTTACATTTTTGGAATAAGCTTTGAAATAACCGATCGTTTCGTATGATAAGACCCTTATTCATCGTCTGGTGTCGTTTAAAGACATTTGAAGCTGCATCTGAAACAGTTATTAACTGTCTTTTGGACCTTGAACCATCCGGTTCCCACTGAAGTCCATTAAATGGAGAAAAATCCTGGAATGTTTTCATCAAAAACCTTCATTTCTTTTCGACTGAGGAAAGAAAGACATGGACATCTCGGATGACATGGGGGTGAGTAAATTATCAGCAAAAGTTTTCTCAAAAGTGAACTAATCCTTTAATACTATTTTGGGGTTTGGAAGTACGATGATCATTTTCTCGTTTGAAACATTTGCAGAATACAATGAACCGGCCTAGATCTGAACCGTGTAGTTTACAACACTCAAAACATCAACCAATCACGAAAGGAGCAAAGAACTCATGGCTGTTTCTTGATTGCATGAATATTCGATAGAATTTGTGCTTGTTTTCCAGCAGAATCCTCTGAGGTAACATTCCCTTCATAAAAACAAACAGATCAAAACAAAAACACCCATGGGAAAGCCATGGTTTTTTTTTTCTTCTGTACACCATTAAAGTTAGTTTAACGGTAGTGAACGCACAACGCTGCATGATGATACACAACACATCGTGACTTCCTCCTACATCCAATGATCAACGTATGGACATTCAGCATCTAAACCGACACGACTTCATACTGTGTAGACGGATTCGGGAAGGGGTGAGAAGACACACAGACGGTGCTCTGACTGGGCTCGATCACTGATTGGACGAATGGATGGTCTAGCTCTGTGGTGAAGCTTGAGAACGTAACGGTGGGACAATCTCCCGGTCTCTGCTGACAGGCGTGACGGTTCAGGACAAGTTCTCTTCCCATTTCAGCAGCGAGTCTGGAGGTCTGGGGTAATAACCTGTCGTGATGGGCTTATCTGAGGAGAATCTCTGGAACTGAAAGTCTAGAGGAAGATCTGGAAGAGAGAACGAACAGGGGGAAGTTTTTAAAGAGGGGACGCCATTTTTTCAATAAAACAAACTGCTCTCTTGTGGTATAAGAAACATTTATTTGTACGGTACCAGTGAATATTTTCACTGAAGAAGACTAGGATATTCACCCTAAAATGAAAAATCTGGTCATCACTCACTCACCCTCGTGTCGTTGCAAACTCACGAAAGATGTTTATTTGACAGCTCTCCATTGACAGCTACGCAACTACCACTCAGAAGCTTCAAAAAGTTCATAAAGAGATCGTAAAATGAATCCAGTGACAATAACAATTGACAGGTGTAGTCCAAACAAGATTGAATTTAGGCTTTTATTCACACAATAAATTGCTATTCCGCAAGAACCAATCAGGTTCAGTCTTTTGCGTTATAAAAAAGAGCCGGACCGTAACGGAGTACATTTACTTGAAGTACACTTTTGAGGGATCTGTACTTTATGCGAGTATCATTTTTGGGGAGTCCTCATGACATTACTCGAATACATTTGAGAGGGAAATGTTGTACTCTTTACTCCACTACATTTCTATCCATAACCGTGAGTATGAGTTACTACTTAAAAAAATATATATAGAAAAAAGTAAAATCTCGGAAACCCTCAATTTGTTGTTTTAGACAGGGTAAATTTTCACAACATCAAAACCCAGAAATCAGAAGAATTATCGACCATAATAGTAATTAGGGATGCACCGATACCGATACCAGTATCGGGTATCGGGCCCGATACCAAGCTCATGTACTTGTACTCGTACTCGTAAAAATACCCCGATACCAAAGACCGATACCTGACACGACGTAACTGACAGAACTTTCCAGTGCACACAGAGACACCAGATGCAATGTCAGCCTCAGCAGTGTGGAAATATTTTCAAAATCAATGATGACGACCCACGCATGGCAATCTGCACGATTATTTCTGCATTAATATCGAGAGTAGGGCTGCACGTTTTCAAGTTTTTCATTAACTGTTAATACTCAGTTAACCATAGTGTTCGCGCTGCAACATACAGAGTTAATTTTTAAAACCTTTAATAACTGGTTGGACCCCATTTGAAACGAATTAATTTATAGAAATAAAACGCAGTGATAAGTAGGCTACAGTAGGCACATTTCCATCACCCTTCAAACTGAAATTGCCAATTGAAAATAGCCTACGCACAGAAACAAGTCCATTTTGCAAAAACTCCGTGTCCGCAAATAAATATTTATGATCATCATCATTATTGTAACATTTTATTAGGCTGCATATGTAGAAGACGCCTTTATCCAAAAAAGGAACAAAGCACAAATAAACACAATATTTTGACGCATATCCAGTGTGTGTGCTTAGTGTGGAGCGTGCACTGATGGCTGCGAGACGCCCATGTGAACACTTGCAGTTTCATTGCAGTTCTTTCAGTGGAAACAACTTAAAATACTCTTTCATTTCTGGTCATACAGAAAATAATAATACATTATTGACAAATACATTTATTTGCATAAACTCACAATAACAAGAAAACGTTGTGCTTTAACAGCAGGCGCGCTTCATGATCTCCGTGAACTGAAGCGCAAGACCTGAAACAGCCACCGCATTCGAATTTGTTCGTTTTAAATTGGACATTTAAAGCTTTAGTCTGAGTAGACTAAAGCTTTAAATGTCCAATTTAAAACGAACAAATTCGAATCGAAAGCCAATATCTTCTGACTATGTAATTATGTAGCCTAGCTAATTATGTATTTCTCTCTAAAGGTGGATCCGGGGATGGAGATTTGTTTTTAGCAGAAACTGATTTAGAAAATAATAGTTTATTAACAAACAATTAATGTCTCGTTATTTTATATTATTTTATTATCAGACACATTTATTATATCTTATAAATCATCTATAAATCTCCTTTCTGTAGGCTGTGGTTACGGCTCTTCTCATTCAGCACTGCGGGGAAAATATCATTTCCAGGTTCTAATTTGGCCTCAAAAAAAACAGTAAAATCTTTTTTTTTTCCATATTCATTTGCCAACTATTTTAAATGTTTAAATGGGCAAAAAAAATCAAACAAATATCTGAAAATTTGTTGATATGTAAAGCCTATATATAACCTATATATATTTTTGTGCAGCATTTGACGTAGTCCTACAGTTCAAATGAACATTTTGGTGTTCAACTTTGCGTTTTACAAAATAACCATTCATTTTTCGTTTTGCAATTAGGCCGGATTAAATAAGGGGAAACGAATGAACACAAAAGTACACTGACCGTTTGGACATAATACGAGGCAGAGTTCTTCTTTTTTTTTTTTTAAATCATAAAAGATTAAGGAATAGCCTACTAGACAAAACCTCAAAGAAATGCCAAAATCAAGACCTCGGAGCAGAAATGAGGGAGAAACACACAGAAACTCTGTGTCTTTGCCTGCCATTAATGCTTGGATGACACACCACGTCTCCTCACATAAATAATAATAGGCTAATGTCTAGTGCGGTGGTTGTGATATAGACCGTTGACATTATTTTTGGAATGACTTATCGCGAAAGAAAAAAATGCTTTAGTCGCATAACATCTTTAATAGAAACGCTGTCATTTCACAATATTTTTTTTATCGACATTCAGAAAAAAAACGCAAAAGTTTTGTGCAAATGTATTGACGCCACAATTTTAAACGGTTAATCGGTTAACCGGTTTTAACCATGGACACCCCTAATCGAGAGGAGGTACAAAAGCCAGTACATATAACACAAGTAACTTGATAAAACATCTGAAATTTAAACACAAAAGTGAGCACGGTGAATTTGCCACTAGCAGTAGCACTCTGCAACAAAATTTGCAGCAAACCTTTTCAAGGCAAGAGAAAATGTCAAAAGATACCCCAAGAGCAATAAAAATAACAGAAATGCTTACCCAATTCATTGTTCTTGACAATAAACCACTCTCAATTTATTGGTTAAAGTTTGTTGTTAAAAAAATAAAGATGCTTATATGTTCATTAGTCTCATTGTGTTGTTCTTAGAAAATCACCCCCCCCAGGCATCGGTATCGGCGAGTACCAGGAAAAAATATCGGTACTCGTACTCGATGCTTAAAAAGTGGTATCGGTGCATCCCTAATAGTAATAATAATAATAATAACAGAGTAATTATTCATAGATAAAAACAACTTTTTTTTTCTAAGCTGTTTCTTCACATTACTTCTCAAATCTGAATATGCCATTGAATTGCCCATGTAGGAAAACTTACAAAAGCACATTTATGTCATGTTTGTACCTTGTTTAGTCAAAAAGATATACTGAAAAATAGATTTCAGCTTGGTGGTGGCGGCCATTTTCACTTTCTCCATTTTGAGGCATTTTGGGACATTTTTGAGCTTCATATACAGCAGATTTGGATTCAGCACCCCTTAACACCCCTAGAAATGTTGTATAATATAAATAATCACAAAATGTCTCCAGCACTTTAAATAAGCACATTTTCAGGACTATTTCCCTCTCAAACGTGATTGGATTGTGCAGGCGCCACTGATTGGGACAGCCTATCAGCAATCACCTTCAGCTTTCCACCAAAGTCAACTCCTTGGTCAGATTTAGATAAGAGACGAAACCATGGACGAAGACGCTGCAGCCCCACCTCGCCACACTATTTCGATTTTCTGAATTTTATTAAATTTTCTTAAATGTTAAATATAGCAACATGGTAAAAAGATGAAAATGTCTTGATTTTACTTTCAATTCCTTTTATATTCCCATACATAACTCCATGTAGGACGTTTCTGTCCATAAATGTGAGCAGAAAATGTACTTTTGACACTCAACTAGACTTTTACTTAACATCTGACTGAAGTACCTTTACTTGTACTTGAGTCAAATTTACGTAGCAAGGGCTATCTGTACTTTTACTCAAGTAATAAAGCTGTGTACTAAACCTCTGCACGATTGAGCTTCAGGAAGAGGTTTGTTCTCGCACGTCAAGGTTGAGCTTCTGTTTGTGTTCGCTGATCAATGTTTATTCATCACATGACAGAAAACTCTCAGATTTAATTCACAATATATTCATTTCTGTTCCGATGATCAACAAAAGCCGTACGGATTTGGAACAACACGAGGGTGAGTGAATGGTTTTTTAGAAGATTAAAATATTTGTATAAAGTTGTATAAAGTTACATAGGAGCATAAGTCAAAGAAATATAATTAATAACTATTCATATTATTGAACAGACATTATTCTATCTTTCAGAAATACGTGTTTAAATCTCAAATCTTTGAAATTTGCTGAATGATCCATCAAAAAAATAGTCTTTAAAATGTAACATTGCATGCGATTATTTATTACACAAAAAGTTACTTACAAATAGGCAGCATCACAAGAAATGAACAGAACAAGAGTCAAGACAATGGGTCTCATTCACTAATAATTTGTAAGCGTATTTGTACACACAGGAGAAGTTCTCACGAAGTTCTTAATAATTCACAACACGTTTAAATGCACATGAATTTGCTCTTACCCTCGCTCTGATGTCAGTCAATGGGTAATATTCTAAATGGGCGTGCTCAAGGTTAGTCATTTGCATAAACATGCCCAAACATCTCCATATAAGGGCTTTCCACACACACTTTCCTAAGACTTTCGTCACTCTCGCCAAATTTGCAGACGCGATCTTTAAACAAAGCCAAGAGTGCCATTCTCACAACCTTTTCTGTGTTCTTCAGAAAAAAATTTATTGTATTATTTAACATTTATATATATATATAAATATATATAATTGCATCCAAAATAAAAGTCTGTGTTTACATAATATATTTGTGTGTGCTGTATATAATTATTTTGTATATATAAATACACACACATGCATGTATATATTTAGGAAAATGTGTTATTCATAAATAAAATATTTATATTTATATAATATAGATTATGTCTTTATTTTAGATTATAGATTTATTTATATATACAGAATTTAAGCGCAAATAATTCTTAAATATATACATGCATGCATAGGTATTTATATATACAAAATAATTATATACAGCACACACAAATATATTATGTAAACACAGACTTTTATTTTGGATGCGATTAATCGCAATTAATTTTTGCACAGCCCTAATATATATATAACATAATATAATATATAATAAAAATGTTAAACAATAATAATAATAATATTGTTAACGTGTGGTTTCAGTTGTTCCTATATTTGTTCCTATAAATTTAGAATACATTTTTGGTAAATTGGGATTTGTTTGTATTATTAGACCCAATATTTGAAGTATGCGAATCTGAATAATGGCAGTAAACTAGAGCACAAGCTGAAATGCAGAAGTAGAGAACAAGAATATTTTTAAGGAACTGTAGGATTACAGATACAGATATTATGCGATATTAAAGGTTCCTCATTTTAATTTGGTGTCTCCAACAACAGATTTCCATGCATCCAAGGTCAAAAACTTCAATGTTCTCATAATATCCATTGCAGCATCACCTCTTTTCTCAGAGTCTGGAATGGTTTGATAAAGGATTGGCCTAGACCCAAATGTAATGTCTCGCTAAACACTCTCAGAGTTTGTGAAGTAGTCTAGAAAAAGTCTCCCGCTTATATCGGCCGCAAAGAGCCCTTCTGAAACCTAAAATGACAGATGGGACGCCCTATGGTCTCATGGACTTCACCATCACATGCATACAGCGGCCATTGTAAGTCCACAAGACCAGAAGTATGAAACTGAAGTGTGCCATTTAGGACAGGGCTAAACCAGTAATCGCTTTCCTAACCTTTTTGATAATATACCTTAATCAAAACCATAGTCTAAATAAGAAAAGAACACAAACTGGAAGCAGCAAAAATACCTGCTATAGCCTCGATGCTGGGTATCGCCATAGTGCTGTATGTGTGGATACTGCGACAACACCAGGTCAGCCTCCGTGTCTCCTCTCCCTCATTCTTCTGCACGTCTACAAAATATGAGCCCCACTGGTTCGATACGTCAGAAGGAGATTTCATTCCCTGATCCTAAGAGAAAGATTTTACAAGGAAGACAGAAAGAGAAAGAGCACAACCTTGACAAACCGCCACCAATAAATTCAGGACATTGCATAATATTATATTATATTGATACACTGTTAGACCTTACCAGGTTTTTTTACAGTAAAATACTGGCAACACTGTTGGACTAAAAATGGACTAAAACACGAGTTAACTAACTTCACTTGAAGAACTAAAATGTATAACTAAATGTATAATGCATTAATAATGTTAAAAAATTAAACTTTTGTAAATAAAGAGATTTCCACCGGATTCTGCGACTAACACAGTCAGTGTCTTTTAAATAAAGCAACACACAGCGTATCATCAATGTTTGTAGATCTTTTCCTGGACTGAAGCACAGGCTCTACTCTTCAGCACAACGGTGACCCAAAAAAACAAGATTTTACAGTAAACTACTGGCAACAGTGTTGCCAGTATAAACCTGTTTTATAACTTACAGTTTATTACTGTTAAAATACATTTTGTGGGTTATCTTACACTGTTAACCCTTTCAACCCCACAGGAAAATCCACACTACAAAGAGTAAAAATTAACATTGATGCAGTGTTGCAGTGAGATAATTAAGGGAATATGTAAGTGATTGTTGAGCATTAGTGATGAACTGTTAAGAAGCAGAATCACTGAAGGAAAGAGGAACATCAAGAACAGAAAATAGAGAAACACAAGAACTACAACTGACTTCAGCCATTACACATTATTACACTTATTATTAACCAGTATGGCTTTATTTCTGTCATACATCTATAGAAGATGTTGTTGAGATGTTTAATTAAAAATGTTTGGTTTGAAGTTACCATTATAGAGATCAGTGTTTGCTTTAGTTGGTCTGCTGACGCTGTTACATTCGATTTTCTTTTGACGCTGTGAGCTGTGTTTTGTGCAAGTCACACTTGTGCAGACACACAGTTTAGTAATGATTGGATTTGTCAAAACATGACAATCATCATATGGTCTGTTCATTTACTAAATAATTCATTCTTACTCATTCAGAGTTTAAACCTCAACCAAAAGTGTTACATTACCACCACCGTGAAACCACAGCAATTAATTACGACTAATTTTTTAACATATCATACATAAACCAAAACAGCGCTACAGTCTTGTAGAAACACCAAGATATCAAAATTTAGCACATTAATCTCAACAATGGTGGCAATTTTTTTTTATTCATGCAGCAGTGCATGCTGGGAGTTTTATACAATCCTGGAACCCAGCATGCACTGCTGCATGAAACTTTTGAATGTTACCATTGTTGAGATGAATATTATAATTGTTGATGTCTGTGTGTGTCTGACTTAAGCAGGATATTATCTAAATGTTTTTTAATATGATTACAATATTATTCAGATGACATAATTAACCAACATATTGACTTCATGTTGTAGATTCACAGATTTATTTTATAATCATAATTTAATGTAAGTTACAAATTGAATACCCATATATATTCACAGAGTATAAACCGGAAAGATCTGAAAATCAGACATATCCAGAATGATTGTGATATTATCGCAAAAGCCGATAACACCAGATCAACTTCCTTTTGACTTTTTCTTGGTACAACAAATGTGTTTTAAAACTCACTGTTACAGCAGTCAGAGAGAGATGAATGAAACAAATCCAGGGATAAGAGACCTACTAAAGCAAATACTGATCTCCATTTTGGTGACAAAAAACTTTATTAATAATTAAATCTCTGTTAATTCTCAACAAGAACTTTTGTACATGTATGAAATAAATAATGTTAAACTGGTTTGTAAACTGTTTTCACACTCAGTGTTGCTGGAAGTCAGTTGTAGATCTTGTGTTTCTCTTTTTCAGTTCTTGTTTCTCTGTCCTTCAGTGATTCTGTTTATCAGGTGTTCATCAGTGTCTCAATTCACTCACTTCTTTTCATTCAAGTGGACTATATTAGTGAACTAATGTAGGGAATAGTGAATGAGGGCATAGGGTGTGATTACGAACACAGTCTCTGAGTGTTGACTTTGAGAGCTGTTAATTCACAGTATATTCCTGTAGGCTAGTTTTGTTTTCTACGGTATATTACTGTTTTAATGGAAAATGGTATGATAGTGTCAGAATTTGGCCTGTTGCCAGTATTTTACTGTAAAAAACCTGGTAAGGTCTAACAGTGTATATTACATTATGTTCATATTTACGCGTAAGCTAGGTAACACGGGTTTGTTTATTCAATAGTATTTGAACGCCAAAAGTGAAAGTAATGAGAGAAAAAGAGTGGCGAAATAAAAGGGTCTCGACGAAACCAAGTGGATAACACCAGCAGGAAACGGTGATGTGTCCAGGATGACCACTTGTGTTCATGGGAAATGCATCTTAATCCTAGGTGGATACAAAGCCTCTCTCTCTCTCTCTCATTTCCTGGAGAGGTGGGATGGTTACAGGTCTAATCTGTTCTGAAAAAATAAAAAAAATAAAATGCCACTGACCATTGAATAGTGTGTAATTGGAAAGGAAAATACACAGGCATCAGGAATACTACATTTTAATTGGTTTAGTGTCATGGTTCAAAATAACCTGTATTTTAATGTACTTTGCATCAAAATCACTGTTGCAAGTGCATTTGATGAAAACTGCAGCTGACTGTACATCATCCCTTACTGTTAAGTTATATTGTGGCCTTTCTGGGTTTATTCGATAGGACGGTCTGAATTGAGGAACAGGGTCAGGAAGTTAGGAAAAGGCCAAAAGGTCAAAGGTCTGACTACTAAACAAGTAGGGAATGCTTTACATATTCAGCTCTTTAATCAATTCAGCCCAAATTAGTGAAATGCCAGTGTTTGGGTTTTGAGGATGAGTACAAGTCACGTAACCTGTCCGACTCATAAAATATGACTTTATGACTTACCTTGCAATAAGTTTCAACGTAAAGATTGCCAACAAGTGTTTTGTGCAATAAATGACTGACTTAAAGGGATAGGTCATTTACTCGCCCTAAGGTCGTCCTAAACCTGAATGAATGTCTTTCTTCTGCTGAACACAAAAGGAGCTATTTTGAAGAATGTGGGAAACTGAACTGATTTCCAGGGTTTCCTTCCATTCATACAGGGTTGAAACAACTTGCAGATGAGTAAATGATGGTCGAATTTTCATTTTTAGGTGAACTAAATGCTTAATGAACTACAATGAACTAAATGTCCAATATAAAATCTGAGACCGAGAGCAAAAAAAAAATCGATGAATTTCTGAACTGGAGGACTTCAATAGAATGAAACACTCTGATCTGGTAAAAGAGGAAGTGTTTGATCAGAAGTTCCCACAGTTTGACGCACACACACACACACACACACAGTGTTGCATAATCCTGGCTCTGTGATTTTTGGAGAAAGGGTTTTCAAAAATACTAGAATAGTATCATGATTGATAAATAAATAAATAATGCAGGCTAAGATGCGTCAGTGGGTAAAATCTATAGTTGTTTTAATCTAAGACATTACTGCACTCATATGGAGAAAATATTAATTTGGTCAAATTGTTTTTTAAAGGGTAACTAAACCCTTAGTCAGAGACTGACTCCGCCCACTGGCAATATTTGAAAAATGCTGAAAAAGTGGGCAGACCCCAGCGGAGATAGAGGGGACGAAATAGATGCGAAAACAGTCTATCCTGATCGTTTTCAATACTCGCAATTCCAACAGTGGTTTTGACGACACAAGATGGTTTTTATACTGCCAAGGGCGTAGCTCGCGTGGTGAGCTGAAACCTGCGTACGTCACGAAGAACCGCTAACATCCAATAGGAAAATTCAACTGCAGTAACCACCGTTCAACCTGAAGAGGGCAGCACTAAGACGTTTTTACACCATATATTGTAGAAATTAAGCACTGTATACACAAATGTCAAAAAAGTTACTCGAATCAATGACTGGTATTAATAAAGATCCATTCTTACAGATCATTAACTAAAAAAAGTTGATTTAGGGTTTAGTTACTCTTTAAGTAGGTACCAATTTTTCAACAACAACAAAAAAAATGTATTTAGGAAAAAAACAACAATCCTACCAATATATACGAAGAGTTCAGATGCAAAAGCCTCTAAATGCCATTTGAAATTTTCTTCTAAAATGATAATTTTTATCAAGCTTGTATATTTAAGTTCAGTAATTTCACTTAAATGACAATTAATAGGTAATCTTCATTGCCATTTAAGTGAAATTACTGAACTTAAATATACAAACTTTATAAAAATGATCATTTTAGAAGAAAATTTCAAATGGCACTTAGAGGCTTTTGCATCTGAACATACATTCTCCTTATTTCGGTTACAGAATCCTGAAACATAACTAGTTGTATTAGTTTATTTCTAATTTCTTTAGAGTCCAACGTAAGTGGAACATCTTTCCTGCCTTTCCAAAGGTAAAGTTACAAATATTAGAGAACGTTTTCGGTGAAATTATAAACAGGTTGTTCATCTGAAAACTGAATCCTCAACCCTAAAGGACAGTGAGTTGAGTCATGTTACAGTTTTCTTAGCAATTTTGCTTCCTCAAAAATGATATTTCTGCTGTATAGACATATTTTTTTAAAGAACATCCACTATCTTTCCTGTAACTCTCCCTTTCCTCTTCCTGCTGACTGCCTTTTCTCCCACTGGTGTCTTTTTAACAAGTGATTGCAAAAAAATGCATGCAGCTGTTTTTCAAATCTCTGATGATCTATCCATCCATCCATCAATTTTGGATCTTTGGCCGATAGAGAAAAAGGGCTGAAAATATGAGCCGAAAATAAACGTGGCGTTCACTTTAAGACCTCAAGCACAGATCCATTATACTGTAACACGCGCATTTTCTTCCTCACCTGTTTGCGTCCACTAAAAACATAACTAAAGTGCGTTTGCGTGAACACTCACTAAGACTGTTTAAGCGCAAAATAACTCAGTTTAGTACTGAGAGGCGGCTTTAATTAAAATTATACTCTGTAACACCAGCAATATTCATCAATATTCAGCAAATGAGTGAGGAGAGGCGGGTTCGTGCGTCACTCACTGTCGGAGAGATCTTGAGAAAGCGCAGCTAGTAACGTTTATCTACTCTGCTGAAAATGAGTATTGGAAGCGTTTCATATATTTCCGTATCGAAAAATCTATATTTATTGACAATATTTGACAACCTGCCAAAGTTGCTAGTGAGAGTGACTTAGTTACACGCCACTGCTGAAACACACCCGGGTGTTAAACCTCTTAACTGTCCCTTTTTTTGAATAGACATGGAAATGCTCATTTCAAACTTAAATGGTTGCAATTCAAGAATGCTTTGGAATATAGACGTAAGATTGGTCTTGGTTTTGAGTTTATAGAAATGTACAAATGTAAAAAAAAAAAAATTATTCATATTTTATATAAAATATATATTTTCAAAACCTGGGCTACTCTAAAACTGCAGAAAAATCAAAGCCAAAAATCGGAACAAGTTTTGTTTCAAATTTTAGGTTGATATCTCAAAAAATGAGCTTTCAGTGAGATTTAGTTTGGGCGCAGTACCAAACTTTTTCACTAGGGCTCAACCAGACTCCATTACTGCCCATATAAGGGCGCCTCCATTTCCATATGTCTTTTGAGTGATATGAACCATTATTTTCACACAATTTATGAAGTAGACATCCTGTTCAGAAGTAGTATGGGAAGTTTGGCAGATTTTGATATGAATTCAACCTTCAGGAATCACATACAAAGAACATATAGCTTATTGCCATAACACAAATGGTGAATCTATTATTTTTTTTCGTAATATTTAAAACATTTTCAGACCTTTTTTTCTAAAATAATTGAATGGATGCTATCTTTTGAACTCTTGGAGGTTTCTAACTTTTTTTCATGATTTTTCATGTTCATTGCTATTTCAAAATAAAGGTCTGAACACGCTTTATGAGTATGAAAATATTCTTGTTGCAAATTGATAAATTACGGCTCCTGTGTAAATTATTTTGAAAATCAGTCACCAATAGGGTTGGGTATCGTTTGAATTTGAACGATTCTGATTCCGATTCCTTGTTTCGATTCCGGTTCCTAACGATTCTCGATTCCGATTCTTTTAAGAGGCAGGGTCAAAAAAGTTTAGCTAACCTTGCTTTTCTGAAGGAAATACTCCTTCTGTCACAAATACTCCTTTTGTCACAAATTTTGCATTTTGCCGAGATTTCGTTATTTTTAGAAAAGTGAAGCCACACTTTGGACCGCCGACGTAAGTTACTCATGTTCGACTCGCGTGGTTATGCCAACATTTCCGGTAGACGCTTCTTCGTTGGTGTTGTTCAGCGGTTTCTTCTTCCGCTCGGCGGACTGTGAATATCGAAACTAGGAATCGAAATTTTAACTTTTGAACGATTCCGGGAAAAACGAAAAGATAGTCCCGATTCCAATCGATACTCGATTCTCGATACCCAACCCTAGTCACCACATATGGAAACTAGAGATTGTAAGCTTTCAAATGATTTATAGTTTGTCAATATTGTTTTAAAAATATAATGCCAAGCTGTGGGACGGTGAAAGTTAAGTGGTTCAAATGGTCTTCGTTTCGAACTTCTGGGCTTCAACAATTGATTGAGTAATTGTACAAAAAATATACATTTTTATCATACAAATAATATATCATTTTTTTTATTTACTTCTAATCTATTCATTAATGCTGTGTTTTTGGAGATATAAAATACTTTTTTATCCATATACCACACAATTCCTCAACTACAACATTAGCTTGCATATGAAATATTAATTTTTTATGATACATTGCATTTATGCTCTAGTACTAGGCCTTCATTTCTGTGTAAAAATTTTCAGATTTATGCCGGATTTTTTATTTATTTTTTTTTGACACATGAAGAAAATATATTTAGTTTTTTTTCTTTTTTTCTTTCACATTTCCCATTCATTTCAATGTAGGGTCATATTAACCCCAAAGACCAGAAGTGTAAAACATTTTTTTTACAAACCTTCAGAACAACCGAATCAAGCCCAGTTTGTGTGCATAGATAGATAATGTACAAAAAGTCACAAAATCTTATTCCACTGAGATGAAGGGAACCTTTTTTATTAAGTAAAAGTCGATTGGGGTCGTATAGATAGAGAGTTAATGTAAAGCCCTGGTTATATCATACATCGTCCAGCCTTAGAAAACGGTGTAATAATGCGGCTCATGGATTCTCGTCTGTGGAATTCTTCGCTTACAGATTCTTTTTTTTTTTTAATGAGTACTCAAATTTAATCGAGCAATCGTGACAGCCCTACACAGAACTGAATGAAGAATAATATACTGATACTTACTATTATTTTAATATATTTTTAGTCCAATTTTGGCGTGTTACTTTAAAGGTGCAGTATGTAATATTGACAGCAATGGTGGAAATAGGTACTGTAGTACAAATTATACATATTAAAGCCGAGTAGGCCCACACGCTGTAGGTTGGCGGGTTTTAATGCCCCTGTTCGTAGAGTTTTTTAGATGGATGCTGAGGCTTTTTAGGTCGGGTAGAGTCTGCGATCTCTGACCCAGTTTGTTTGCTGGCTTCCATTGCAACAGTATGCTGTGTTTTCTGGCAACTGGCAACCTGGAGTTTTAAGTTTTTCAGAAATGCAGTGGTCAAAGTTGATAAAAACAGTTAATCAAAGTTGTCCTAATAGACAAGAACGGGCATTGTTCAAAATTCATAACTTTGATGAAAGGTTTTGATCCACTTCAAATGTTGACTACTGTATAGATATTGCCAAAGACATTATTCCAAAACATAAAAGTAAGATTTTGTTAAAGATATCAAATGAGATTCCAATAATCCAAGACATCCAAAAGACAAGCACATGTAACATTCCAACTCGCTTCCCTCTGAAATGGAGAGTGGAAAAGATCCTGAGCTTGACTAAACAGAAACAGCCTTTCAGTCCCACCTCAAACTTGCCCTTTTTCTCTGCAGGGCCTTCGGTCGGGGTGGGGCTGTTACAGGGGGTCGCGTTCGCACGGGGGACGCCCTCCCCCTCCATCTCCTCCACGATCATCACCGTCTCCCACTTTCCAAAGCTGCAGGCGGGGAACATGTCCGAGCGCATGCTGTCTCCGAAATACACCACCTGCATCAGAGAAGACACACACGTGGACGCAAATCAATTCACACACACACTCAATACAGGCAGCATACAACATCTGAAGAAATACTTAAAAATAAAATTAAAATATTGTATCATTATTCTTTTTATAATAAATAAATTATAAACATTAGTAAATAATTGAAAGCTTAAAAGATTGGGAAATTAACAGTTAAACAGAATGTCACAAAACTTTGATTTACAGGTTTTCATGCAGTATATGGTCATATTGGCATGTGTTATCTCTGTTAAGCATTCCATAATGTAAAAGACTAATCAAAGATATACATACACAGTATATATGTGTGCATATATATATGTGTGTATATATACAGTATATATATATATTAGGGGTGGCACGGTACATGAAAAAACACCCGAACCGTTCGGTTTGCTTGTCTCGGTTCGGAGCGTGTGTGCGTCTCACGGTTCGGCGCATGCGCAATGTAGCCTCGCGCCCGTAAGTGACGTGTGTTTTCTTTTCGCGCGATATAAGCTTGTTCGATTTGGACCAGCGCTGCACAGAGCGACCGGTGAATAACATCAAACTAGTGCGAGAATGACGGCTCTGTCACTCACTTACGCGGTATTTGATGTCATTACCGATCGCTCTGTGCAGCGCCGGTTCAAGTTAATAAACAAGCCAGTAAAAGTGGAGTATGGAGCGCTGCAGGTCACGGCACGCGGAGAAATGGCAAGTGGGAGAGATGAGGGAGTTGGAGGATGCGCCAGCGTAGGGCTGGGCGATATATCGAATATGTACGATGTATCGTTATATTTTTTGAAACGATATGGAATGAGGCAATACCGTTTATCGATACAGTAGTTTGATATGAGCACATCTGAAAAATAGCGGAGGTTGCAGTGTGAGCTGCTGCAGTGAAAGTAGCTAGGCTACGTAGTACAATTTGTCCTAAACATGACACAAGCTTATATTAATTGCGTCAAAATCACTTTGATATAGTTAACAAGTTTAAGGCAGCTTGCCGCCCTGTCAAATGCTCTGACAGACACTGTTGCTGACTGACAGATATACTTGCGCTGTTTAATGCGTTTGAGATGTGGTGCTTTCCTCAGTGCTCAACTTACATTTCACATATTCTCCATCTGTAAATGTTAGAAAGTAAAGCAAACATGTCCATTTCACAACAAATATGTCCATGTCAGAAGAGGACGAGTTTCTGCAAGTGAATCTCCGCTAAAATTCATGCTTCCTTGAACGAGCGCCGGCGCGCGCATGCGCGTGAATAGTACTACGTAGTACGCAATAATTCTGACTAAAATAAACATATTGCTAAAATATTTGTTGTTGGAGAAAATAAATGTGCCATATGTGGAATTTTAAACCTACAAGTATATATTTTTAATGAAAGTGAAAGTAATTATAATGGGGTAATCAAATGCAGGCTAATATAATTAGTTTGTGCTTTTGTTTTTGTTTTTATTTTCATTTTTAGTTTAGCTTTTAGTCAATATAAAAACAAAAGCTTTTTGCACATAATATATTGCATAGCCTATATTATATTTGTTTCCATATCCTTCAATATCAACATTGTTTGTAGGATATCATTGGGCCGAATGTGAATATACTGTATATATATATATACTGTATATATATATATATATATATATATATATATATATATATTTTTTTTTTTTTTTTTTAATATAAAGATTTTCTTTATCTAAATAGAAAACGTAGAAAGTACCGAGATATATATCGTATATCGCCATTTGACCAAAAAATATCGAGATATGATTTTTTGGCCATATCGCCCAGCCCTACGCCAGCGTCGTATAAGTCTATGGTATAAGTCCAGTGTGTGGGAACATTTTGGATTTCATGTTGTGATATTTTAATATATCGCTACAGTGGCACTTTATGTTTAGATAGGAGCTCCAGTCAAATGTTTCCAAATCCTGCACTTTAATTTCAAGTGAAAAAAACGTACCCTCACTCTCTGGGAATAGAAGCATTGTTGATACTTGAGGTTGAACTTATGTTTCACTTTATGTTTATGGCCTTTGCTATTGCTATAGCTAATTATAGGCAATGAGGTTTCATGTATATTGACTTACTCATAAAAGACAGTGTTTTAAGAGTTCCTCTTTTTTTTTCTTTTAAAAGGTAGAATTTTTGTAAGAGCTACAAAAGTTGGCAGTTGATAAATGCAAGTTGATTTCTTTGTGTAAATAAGATTTGTGTGAAGTTCTTGTAGACATAGTGATACACATTCTCCTTTTTTGCCAAATAAACGTAAAGCATGTCAATGTCTTCTCTCTTGCTGTATCAAAATCTCACCTAGCTTTCCTCTGAGATAGTCCCAAAATGTGCTTAAAGTCAAAGAGTCAAATTCAGTTTGTGCATGATTGCATGAATATATATTTTTTTATACTGTATCCTAAAGTGTGGCTAATTAAGCTATATATCACATGCTGAAGTACATAGAGTGTTAAAGATTAAAAGAAAAAAATAACAAGAACCGTACAGAACCGAAAACCGTGATACAAACCGAACCGTCAGTTTCGTGAACCGTGCCACCCCTAATATATATATATATATATATATATATATATATATGATCCTTCAGAAATCATTTTAATATGCTGATAAGCTTTGCCATTTTCAGAATGATTGAGGATTCAGACTGTCTACCTTGGGCTCAGGTTTGTTGGTCATCTTCTTCAGTAGTTCGTGTAGATGAGGCCAGTTGCCCTGAGAATACCAGCCAGGCTTTTCCAGAGACGGCAAGCCTTCGCCATCTTCAACATCATCCACTATTGAGAGAAATGTGTTAGGATACACAATGAGGATAACAAACAATCCTTCTATGCAGTTTTAGTTTAAACACTTCCACATCTTACAATAACTGGTAGTCTTTCGTTAAAGGGATACTCCACTTTTTTTGGAAATAGGTTCATTTTACCACTCCCCCAGAGTTAAACAGTTGGGTTTTACCATTTTCAAATCAATTCAGACGATTTTCTGATATTTAGAAGAATATCAGTATACAGACAGTTTCTGGTCTCATTGACTTCCATAGCATATTTTTTCCTACTATGGAAGTCAATGAGACCAGAAACTGTCTGGTTACTGATATTCTTCTAAATATTAGAAAATCGGCTGAATTGATTCGAAAACGGTAAAACTCAAATGTTTAACTCAGGGGGAGTTGTAAAATGAGCCTATTTCCATAAAAAGTGGAGTATCCCTTTAAGTCGACCAATCACTCGTTTATATGAATTTAATTTCTCAAATATATGGGAATACTAAACCTTTAATAGAGGAATAATATGCGTATTTCTGCACTCCAGCGAACGCCTAGCTTTAGTGTTTTCTAAGTCACTAATGAACGTCTTTTGGCTGCACTGATGTCGGAGTCTTGGGAAGTGTGTGTTACTCACCCAGAGTTCTGAAGGGTCTTTGCTGCGGAACCAAAGAGAAGAATCCAGGCTTCAGAGCATTCGTGATAATGATGTCAAACAGATCCTCGAAGTCCGTTCTGCAAAAATATGAGTGTAGAAATTATTTGTATGGTGATTTCTTTGTGTATATGCTGGCCGACTCCACTGCAGAAACAGGAACAGCAATGACAGTTTGAATTTGAACGATTCTGATTCCGATTCCGATTCCTTGTTTCGATTCCGGTTCCTAAAGATTCTCGATTCCGATTCTTTTAAGAGGCAGGGTCAAAAAAGTTTAGCTAACCTTGCTAACCAACGGCCTTTCTGAAGGAAATACTCCTTTCTGAAGGAAATACTCCTTCTGTCACAAATTTTGCATTTTGCCGAGATTTCGTTATTTTTAGAAAAGTGAAGCCACACTTTGGACCGCCGACGTAAGCTACTCATGTTCGACTCGCGCGGTTATGCCAACACTTCCGGTAGACGCTTCTTCGTTGGTGTTGTTCAGCGATTTCTTCTTCCGCTCGGCGGACTGTGAATATCGAAACTAGGAATCGAAATTGTAACTTTTGAACGATTCCGGGAAAAACGAAAAGTTAGTCTCGGTTCCAATCGATACTTGATTTTCGGTACCCAACCCTACTGACAGACAGTATGAACTAAGTCTAAATAACACTTTTAATTCAAAAGGTTTGATTATTTTATATTGTAATTAACTGTAAATGTTATGTCGATTATGAGCATGCGTGTAAAACTCACCCCAGTATGTGCTCACACACTAGTCGACAGTAGTCCGAGTGTGAGCTGGTGATGAGCAGAAGGATCTTCCCGCTGTTTTTCAGGCTCCTCAACCACCTCTTGACCGCATCCGAGCAGGGCTGCAGGTAACGGCCAGGACAACGCTTCACACTGGGGAAATACGTCCCGGTGTCCTCTAAACATGCAACAGCAAACGCATCAATAACGCTCAGTTCTTAATAAGGTCAAACTTTAGATTTTTTAGAGTATTTTTTTGGATTGAATAACATTAAACACCAACACATGCAATAAAAAAGGGTATTAGTAAATAAACAGGACTAATTAGCGCAAGTTTCATTATAGTGCCGACGGGACTGGAGAGTTTTGCGTGATCTACTGCCGGATCACTTCCATAATGTCCAAATCAATCTGCCACAGAGCGTCCGGTTTAAGGCGTGCTTTTTTCGGGTGGTAAATAATGGCGCAAAAACACCAGTCACCAATTATGGCGCAAATCACCTTGCGTGATTCCTTGAAATACTCTCCTCCCATACATTTAGCATCTGAAAGGGAATCTCCTACAAATGCATATGCAATAAGGTCCGCCGCAAAAATAACCCTGTCTACGCCTTTTCAGAGTGTCTTTAGTAAATCCTGACAGTGGTTTCTTTACGCCAAAAGAGAGTTTGCGCTGGCACAAGCTGTAAATAAATCTGACCCTTAATAGTCTATGACTGGATCATTATTATTAGTGTTTCTGGCATGCTATATGTTTGGCAACAATTCATTAAACCCTCAAGGATGTGTGTAGCATTTATTGGTAACACTTTACAATAAGGTCCATTGGTTAATGACCATGAGAAATACATTTGTTACTGTATTTGTTAATCTTCGTTGATGTTAGTTAATAAAAATAAAGCTGTTCATTGTTTGTTCACGTTAGCTCACAGCGCATTAACTAATGTTAACAAGATTTGAATAGAGTATTAGTAAATATTGAAATTAACATTTACAAAGATTAATAAATGCTGCTCAATATTAGTTCATGCTAACAAATGTAGTTAACTAATGTTAACTAATGAACCTTATTGTAAAGTGCTACCCATTTATTTCTTAAACAAGCATGTCAGAGGACACATTCCATGACCATATTCCAGGAGGGAGGCTCGACACACAAAAGGGCATTAGCAAAATAGGCAAAAAAGAGAGATTTTTGGCAGCAAACACACCACATGTGTTTGGTGCAAACGGGGATGAAAAATATCCCAATATATCCAGCATATATGCTGCTGGATCTTTAATGTTTGTGGGCCTTTTTTTTTTTTTCCTGGAGCTCCTGGACATCTTGTTCAGACACATGGACTCATGGATTCTAGAAAATACCAACAGATGAAAAAAATCAAAACCTGACGGCCTCTGCTCGAAATCTTATAACGGGACATGTCTGGATCTTCCAGCAGGACAACGTCTACATCAATACAAAAATGGGTCAATGAGGACAAAATGAAGCTTCTGCCACGACCGTCCCAGTCCCAGACCTGATGAGTGGAGTGAACATAAGAGGCGCCAACATGGATCTGGGAATCTGCAGGATTTGACTAAAATGCCATCAGAGAGCATCAGATTATCATAATAGCAATTTCATTTAAATGATGCATTATGTTGCAGTCCTTAAAGAATTAGTTCACTTTTCAAAAAAACTTTTGCTGATAATTTACTCACCCCCATGTCATCCAAGATGTCCATGTCTTTCTTTCTTCAGTCGAAAAGAAATTAAGGTTTTTGATGAAAACATTCCAGGATTTTCTCCATATAATGGACTATACTGGTAACCAAACGGTTCAAGGTCCAAAAGACAGTTTCAGTGCAAACTGTTCAAAGGGCTTTAAACGACACCAGACGATGAATAAGGGTCTTATCAAGCGAAACGATCGCTCATTTAAAAAATAAATAACACAGTTTTATAAGCTCAAATGGTCGCCTTGCTGTGTTCTGTGATGCGCGTTCGTGACTCTCCTGTTCGAACTTGTTCATCAAAATGAACGAATCTTTTTCAGAGTCATTTGGTTCATTCAACGAACGAAACGAACGAATTGACTCGGAAAAAAGATTTGTCATTTTGATGAACGAGTTCGAACAGGAGAGTCACGAACGCGCATCACAGAACAGAGCAAGGCGAGCATTTGAGCTTATAAAACTTAAACTTTGTTTTTTTTTTTTTGAATGAGCGATCGTTTCGCTTGATAAGACCCTTATTCATCTTCTGGAATCGTTTAAAGCCCTTTCAACAGTTTGCACTGAAACGGTCTTTTGGACCTTGAACCGTTTGGTTCCCATTGAAGTCCATTATATGGAGAAAAATCCTGGAATGTTTTCATCAAAAACCTTAATTTCTTTTCGACTGAAGAAAGAAAGACATGGACATCATGGATGACATGGGGGTGAGTAAATTATCAGCAAAACTACTCCTTAAATAATTACGCTCCAACTGTTTTTTTATTTACTTGCCAATCTAACTTCTCCACACACTTGCCATTTGGGCTGGCGTTTGATTTTAGACCCCCCCACTGCCAGCGCATCTTATTTTCATTTCTTATCCTGGCGTTCTATCTGGCCTACCTAGCCCATGTGGTTTACATCAACCGACACACACCCCTCGTGATTCCAAAACTTTTCCACAGCCTGCATGATCGCAGACTCGAGCATCACACAAGATCACGTTCAGCCCTCAACGTAACCCACACACACACGCCAGAAACGCTCAAAACACAGATTCAGATTTAACCGGTCAAATGCTTCACTACGACACTGACTGCAGCACGAGGCCGTCTGATCCTATAAGAACTCACAATACAAACAAACCACAGCTTCTCGAGAACTAAAAACCAGGACGAATGGAAAACCAGCGCCACTGGAGTGTGTAGATGGGCGAGTTGGTAGTGAGAGAGTGAAAGTATCAGTGTACGCAGGGTGGCCAAGCTTACTAAAACAGGAAGTGGACTGTGTTTGCCTGGAGTGAAGGAATGCGCTCCATATGTGAGACGTACCGGTTCTCTTCATTTCATGAACAGCAGAAAAGGAGACTTAGGAAAACAGGCATATTCACTAGTCTTCAGTTTATATTGGCAAATACTGTCGCACCACGTACACACAGCCACGTCTCTGGAATCATCTCACACATTCGCACGCACAGACGTCTCAGCCTACACACAGATCAACGCGGACCCTTTTACACCACTGGCCTCTTCCGAAAGCACATTTCTTTATTTAAATGGATAAATGTTTGTTTGCTTATATGTACAGGTCAGTGAGAGCACACATGCATAGCTTGTGCATTTTGGAGTGTGTTGAATCACACACAATCTTATCAGAGTACTTCTATGACATTATATAAGAGGTATATAGACATTACACTTTAAACTGACTTAAAATATGTATAAAACAAAAGGTTCACACATTTAAAATCTAAATAAACAGCAGCTTGATAATGGAGTTTTCTAACTGAGTTTATATTGCTCTACTGCCCCCATGTGGGAAATGCCACGTATCAGTCCAACTATGATTTAGCTTAAACGTGGTATTTTTTGTGTATGTGTATGAAAAGGTGTCGTCAGACCCTCATTTTAGACAGAATTCTTTCTTAAATTGGCAAAAACAAGCTTTTGTCTATGATTACACGAATTTCCAAGGGCCTAAAATATATTGAAGATAAAAAAACAAGGTTTTATTGGAAGCACAGTTAGTGTCAGAAAGCATTTTAATTAACATCTATTAACACAAACCACTAATAAAAAAAGTTGTCATAATAATTCCAGTTCACATGGATAAGCGGAAGCGATAAAACAATTCTGTATTATACATTTTTAAGGCCGGACATTTGTTGAGGTTAATTTGTAAAAAAAACTATATGCACATATATATTCAAACGTGAATACCTATAGACTAAACACGTAATATGGATGTGCACGTTATCAGAATTGTTCACAGATTTGAGTTTTTGAAGTTTACGCATTTTTCAAAAATTGTCAAGCCTTGCACCTGGGAAACTATTTCAGTGTTTGGGTTCTCGAACCTCAGGCACTGTTAGAACGGTGTCGTGTTAGCGCCCCCTAAGTTAATAACTAACGATCTCTGCAACAGAAGTGAATCAATCAAAAACTACACTGTAAAAAATTGAAGTAGGATTTACTTGAAAAAATCTTGCTAACTTTTTTCACTCAGAAAATGCAAGTAAATTTACAAAGATTTGCTAAGTAAAAATCTAAACATATTTATCAGTAGCTTTAATTAGAAATCTTTGGAATATGCAAGTAAACTTTAAAAAAAAAATAAGTAATTTTAACTCGGCAAGTAAAAGGTTGATAAATTTCGATTTCCTTTGCCTTTGTATTACATTTCACTAAAACAATAATCTTGAATTTTATTAGTCATTTATAGTATGTGCTTTATTCAGATCATCTAAGTTATTTATATTACATCATGTCAGATGTTAAAGGGTCATTCCACCTCTGGAAAGATGACTGTGTATTTAAAATGGGTAATTTATGTAGAAGAAATGTGAAATTATTTTTTTAATTTGGAGCTTTCTAGACTGAGAAAAGACAGAAAATGTATTTTTGGCTTATGTGGATTAAAGTCCCTGTAAAGTCAAAATTAAGTATGTGTTCTGAGTTTGTCACACCACAGAAAAATGTGTTATTAGCCACCCAGCCAAATTTGAATGATAAAAAAGCCGGCAAGTACATAAAATAAGCTATCAAAATTTTGAAAAAATTAGCAGTTATCTCTGTTCTCAAACGCTGGGGGCGTGTCCGCTGGCTGCGCTGAAACCACGCCCACTAGCGGGAAAGCTGTCGACGGTGATATTAGCTGATACTGCTTTTGGAGACGGGAGGATGAACGCTGAGGCGGGAGATCGTCGTTTCGGCCCCGTTCACCAGTAACAGCGGATTATCAGTGAATCCAAGTTGTCTGGATAAAACTATCCAGTGTAAAATGATCACTTCAGAGGCGGGTGTTGCTGTCGGTGATCCTCAGCTCTTCATCAAGGTTGGTTCTCTAAAAACCTCTTCTTGATGTGATCGTTTTTAGGGAATTTAAATGAAGATACCGATCTGTTTTGTACATGATCGCATCCAGGTAGTAGCCTATGCATTTCTGTGTCGAAGGCATCGCTAGCTAGAAAACTGTAGGCTCAGCTGTAGCTGTACTGACAGTCACCCACGATTGAGCGGT